AAAAAAACTAACATTACTTACGTGTGACACCCTCAATGACACAAAAGCCAGATAAAACCAACAGCAAGGCTGCAAGTGTACATCGTTCTTGGAATTTCATATTTGGGCAAAATAGGAAACCGAAGTCTAGAAGAGATTGAAAGAAATCTAGATAWTCTAAATATAAAARGGAGAAAAAATATTTAAAGACATGGCATGGCATCCAACTAGGTTATAGTTATTGATATACTTTCGAAAAATAGAAACTGAYTWATCCCAGCAGTTTGTGGGGGARCGTTCAGCCAATATGAATTGCTTCATTAATTASAAAAAGTCTTCAGAACTTTTATTAGTTAATACTAATGACATAAAAAGGCCACCTTATAACTATTATTTTCAAAGCGCATGGCAATTAMATTAAGGTATTGGACCATTGTGYATTCAACTCTTAATAGCACAAAACCTTTTAATCGGAAYCTYAACAAAGTATACATTTTCTGAAASCTGAATAAATGTAGAAACTATTCCTTTTTCCCTTTTCGTAAAATATATTTATCCTTTTAAGTTAGAGCGAATTATTCAAATTTTCACCGTGGCATCTTCGCGGAGTTTGATGACAGCCGGTAATAATCGGAAACCAATGCTTATTACCTTTCCGAGATCACAAGACATCATTTTGATTAGTTGCCCCGTTGGTTTTTTTTTTTACGCTCCTAAAGTTATGACGCTGATATATCAGCTGTATCCGATCCAAAATCCACGATAACTTTGGAAATAAGCAAAAAAATCAAAAACAAATATCGGAGACACTCCTTTGGAGGAAAAACTATCCAAGATGACTTCCTCAAAATTTCAGTTAAATCGGTTAAATTCCCTTTGACATCGTATTCAAAATGTACGGGTAACTGAACGCAAAATCACTTCCGAGAAAAACGCAAAAATGTTTCTGACTGAGCAGAAATGCCTTTGTTGACACAAACTGTATTTTTTTCATTACTCGCTATTAAAAATCACTATCGAAATTTTTTTATGGGGAAAATCGAAGAATATTATATATTTTATCGCAAAATGTAAAAATGTAAAAATCGATACTTTTGAGCAATTTTGGGGTACCCTGATACCTTAAGAAAGTTGGATATAGACTATACAAATACAAATACAAATTTTTCGCGAACATTGATAATTTTAAAGCTAGTGGCTGACTACTTTGGTAAATAATAAACAGAAAATTAAAAATTGAAACTTCTTTAACCTGAAATTTAATGGATTTCAAAAATSCAAAGAAAAATGGKGCGTTYCGAGTTTGTTTTTGAGRTAATCASTCCGGAATGACATGCGTTTATACAACTTTTGTTTGTTCAGGTTCTAAAAATTCAGGTTTTAATTGTTTAATTTAATTGTTCAGGTTTAAAAATTGAGCACAAAACAAACCGAACGACTTTTTACATTGTTCCGGTAAACATGATTTTCTTAAACTTAAGTAATGGGATATTACCTGTTATCCTGGAAAATGACAAAAGAAAAATGGAGTCCCGTGCAAATTTTGAAGGTTTTGCTGTCTTGAATTTCAATGGCGTGTTTGGCCCTTCATGGGATCAAATCGAATGTTGAAAGAAGTCACCACCTTAAGGTAAACAAATTCCAATTGCTTACTATCAATCACGTGACTTTTTGGAGTTGACTGGG